TAAGAAAGGTGACTTTCTTGATTTTTGTCAAAAATAGAAATTACTTTTTTTTTTTTTTTTTTACTCAAAACACATATAAATACATTAAGAACGATACTCCAGTTTGAGAAGTAGAACTAGGTATTGCCAACTCCAGTTCCAGGTCAAGAATTTAGGGCTTCAATTCAGAAATATCATGATATCACGGGAAAGTAATAGGTGGTCTTGAAAAACAACGCAGTGTTAGATGGCTATAGCTCCTGATGAAGCCTCAGGATTGTTGGGGGCGCTCTGGACGTGAGATCAGTAGGGGGCCCACTCTCTAGTTCTCAAGTTCTGAAATATTGGTTTAAGTCTCAGCAGCAGCATTTTCTTCCGTGGCTTGTCTTCACATTCTGGTCTTGCAAATATACAATGACATTAAAAAGTGCCTTAGGATTCTGCCGGCTCTCTCCCTCCTTTCCGCTGCTCCTCTTCTGTTTGCGGTTTGATGTCCTTCTCCGACTCACTGTATGCCCTTCCTCCCTTAGCTCCTGCTGTTAGTTTTGGTCCGTTGGTGTCTGGGGACTCTTTGGTTAAGCCTCCTGGGGCGGCAGGATCTGCCAGGGTTGGGTCCTCGGCAGCATCCTCTTTCTTGTCTTCTCTGGATTCAAGAGGTGACTTGTCCATTCTTCCTCCTGTCTCTCCACAGCCATCATCAGTTGCTGCAGGCTTTGTGCCCATTTCATCGCTCTCTGCCTGGGCTGGGGCAACCACCTCTTTAGACTGCTGCTCATTCACACCGGAGCCTCCAACCTCAACTGTCGGGGTCTCTTCTGAAGCTCCGTTCACATCTTTGGAAAGCTCGGGAGCCACAGCAGCGAGCTCGGGAGCCACAGCAGCGAGCTCGGACTCATCCCGGGTGGCGACAGTTTGTGTTTCATCCTGCACAGACACCTGTTGTCCACTGGCTTCTTCCACAGGTTTCCGTCCAGCTCCCTGGCTGTCGGGTGGCACCTGGGGAGCCTCTTTCTCTATGTCAGATGCTGTTTCCTCTGGCCGGGAAAACTGGTCCACAGCTGTCTGGATTATGTTTTGCACAAGCTTACTGCTCTCAGTCTCAAGTTCCAAGATCTGATTTTCAGCCTTGGGACCGCCCTCTACTGCCAGGCTCACTGTACCTTCCAGACAGCCAACTTGCCTGTCATCTTCATCTGCCTTCTGCTTCTGGGATGCACGGTTCTCTCCCTGCAGGTCCGAGTGCAGGTCTTTCTCAGGAGTGGCAGACACTATGACTAGCTCTGATTCCATCTGAGGCTCAGTCCCCACAGGGACAGCATCGTCTCCCAGCTGAAGAGTCCAGTCCCCGACCTTCCCTGGAGATCTCTCTGCTGGTTCTAAATGTGCAGGCTCCACGGCGTCACTTGTTTCTGAAATCCTGCCGGTTTCTCCTAACACCTCCTCCTCCGCTGCCGTAGGTACAACAGTCACTAGTGCCTCAGTGCTCTGACCTTGAGTCTCCACACATCCTGCTTCCTCCTCTGGATCTGAAGGAGGAGAGCTTCCATCTAAACTGCTTACCTCCTTTTCCCTGTCTGTGACGTTTACGTCAGCCATCTGGACTAGTTGCTGGTTGGGCTCTTCGGCTCTGGGACCGGCTGATTTTTGCTCAACTTTTTCTTCACTGTCTTGTACTGCCTTTGCATCAGTGTTCTCCTTTTCTACTTGAGCTACCCTCTCTCCCTCTTCTCGGCCTGGACTCTGGAGTTCTGTGTTACCACCATCCTTTTGACAGTCTGCCCCTTCAGTCAATTCACCTGGAAGAGGAACATCAGTGGCCTTTTGCTGACTGGCCACGTGTGCAGATGTGACAACTTCAACACACGGTCTGTCTTTGGCTTCCCCATCAGCAAGCAGGCAGGCCTCTCAAATCACCTCAGTCTTGGACACTATGGGTACGCCTTCCACTGATGGCTCTTGATCCTTATGTTCTAGACTGTCTTCCAGTTTTAATTGTTCTGTATAGTCTTCCTGGGATTGAAAACTTGGCGGTGCTGAAGGCCCCTCTTTCTGGGCAGGAGCTGCCTCTACTTCTGTGACCTGTGGCTGAATGTCAGATGCACCTGCACCGTCTCCTTGCCCTTCTGTGACCTCATTTTGCTGTATTGTACCTAGCTCGTCAGTATCTGCCACGGGGGTGCTTCCGTTGGTCTCGCTGTCTGTCGGGGTATCTGCTGAGTCAGGGAGAACAGACTGCTCTGGGGGCTGCACCCCAGCTAAGGGCTCAGATTGGCACGTGGTTACCAGCTCCCTGGACTCTACCCTCGCTGTGATTTGAGGAACTTTCTCAAAGCCTTCAGGGGCAGCCTGTGCTATAACCTCCCCACTCGTAAAATGTTCGGTTTTAGTTTCTTGTATGTTTACTCTCCACACTACATCCATCTCTTCCTTCAGATCTGGTTCATCGGAGTCTTCTTCTGCTTCCTCCACCTTCTGAAGGGCTTTTGGCTCTGCTTTCTGTATGATCAGAGTCACACCTTCGGCCCCACTGCTGTCTGGCACCTGTGACTTCTCTTTTACTTTTTCTGCAACTGCCTGTAAGACAGCCTGAGTCTGCCGCTCCTGCTCTTCTGCATCTGGCCCTCCGCTTTCCACCTCCTGGACTGGGGTGGCTTCCTCCGTGGTGTCTGGGGACTCGGTTAGCTGGGAAATTGCGGACACCATCTCTGTGGCCTCTTCTGCGGCTGATGCTTCCGTGGCTTCTTCAGCACAGAGCACCTCCGTGGTCTCTGCAGCTGTCACTGCCTCAGAAGTTAATGCCACTTCACTAGTGATCGTGTCATCAGGGGCATCTCTGCTCTCGGGGAGAGTGCGGGTGGCTGTGGGGAATTCTTCTGCAATGACTTCTCTTTCAGTCCCTTCCTCAGTTGATGGTGTGGCTTCACCTTGTGCTTGTTCAAGAGGCTCTGTCACAGAGGCAGATATCCAAGAAGGAGACCGCTCTTCCACACTGGTAACTGCCCTTGTCCCATTGATGACAGCCACTGCTGCACAATGAACCAGATTCTTGCCGAGTTCCTCGGACACATCCACACCCACCTGTTGCTCAGGGGTGGCTTCGCTTTGTGGGGCTTGCTGAGCTTCCATCTTCTCCCTTTCCACGGCATCATACTCGGACAGAGGCACTACGGCTGGGACATCAGAATCCTCTTCATTGATTTCTGCGGGCCCTGTGTCTCCAGCAGTGGGTTGTTCTTGTTTCCCATCTGACCTTTTCTTCCTCCGTCCAGGGATAAATTTCTTAATTGAAACCCAAGATTCTTCTTTCCCAGGTTCAGCATCTGAAGCTGAATGCTCTACACCACTGGACTCTTCGTTTTTCTCTTTCTGTTTTGACTTGGATTTTTTTCTTGGGGTCACCAATCTTTTAAATGACTCCCAGGTGGAAACGCCCTCCCCTTCGGAGGGGCTGCCGGCTGGCTCAGGGGAGGAGCTTCCCTGCCCTTGGTCAGGTTCCTGGGTGCCAGCAAGGACAGAGTCGTTTCCGGTTTCTTTGTCTTTGGCAGCCTCCTCTGCTTTGCGGCCGTCTCCTCCCATCGTTTTTGGTCCTCCCTCCTCATCAGAAGAGGAGGCTTTCCTTGCTCTTTTCTTGGATGACCCCACACAAATCAACACCTCCCAAGACACCAAAGTGTCCACCTTGCGCTTTGGCTCTTGGGGCTTTTGCTCTTCCCCAGCACCTTTGATTTCTTCTTGCATTTCGGAGGCTGCGCTCTCTGTGGAAGACAAGGTGGCGCTCTTGACCCTGTCCGGCTTGTCCAACTCGTCCTCCTTATCGCTTTCAGAAGGCCTGCGAACACGCTTCTTGGGCGTCACTATCTTCTTGAAAGATGCCCAGGGAGTAACACCTTCTCCCTTTTTCTCTCCATCGGAAGTAGCTCCTTCTTCAGCCTCGCCTTCCTTCGTGGTGGCCCTCAGTGATCCCCTTCTCCAGACACGTGATCTCCTCGGGTTCTTCAGGGGAGGAAGCGGAGCTCTCGCCCTTCTCATCAGCACTATCCGGAGACTCCGCTGCCCCTTGGTTATTTTCCCCTGAGTCCTCATCTCCTCCTCCTCCTCCTCCTCGTCTCCCCTCCTGTTTCTTTCCAGAAAGCTTCTTTAAGCCGGTGCTGGAGAACAGTTTTTTCAGAGGGCTTCCCTGCACCTTGGTTCTCTCTTGTGATGACAGCACGGCCACCTCACTCACGATGCTCTCGGGCTGTTTGGGCAACACCTTTCCATCAGGACTCAGCTCTGTTGGCCGGGCGTGGTCTCCAGAGTCACAGGCTTTTGGGGTCTTTTCCAGCTCCTCAGCGAGTTCAGCTTCCTGAATTTCCTGAGCACTTGCTTCCAGCAGTTTTTCAGGTGGCAAGGATTCTACTGTTTCTCCCACACCTGCTTCTTGCTCCTCTGTTTTCTTCTCCATACTGCTGATGTGGACTTCGGCAACAACTTCTTGGTGGGCTTCTACTTTTTCATCAAATACTTCCGTGGCCAACGGAGCACATTTCTCTGCAGAAGAGCCCTGCACACCACTGACTTGATCTTCCAAAGGCAACTCCACCTTCTCGTAGTCAGCTGATAATCTGGCCTCATCCCCGCCTTCCACGGGCTTCTGGGGCTGCTCAGAAGCTGTGAGCTGCTCAGGGGTATCTTCTGCCTTCTCATTTTCCTCTGTGTCTGCCTTTGCTGGCTCTTGCTCCTTTTTCTTCTCAGAGGCTTCCAGTTCATCCTTCTTTGGCTTCCTGAAACTGGTCTTTTTGCGCCAACCGGCCCAATCTTGGGTGAAGAATTCCTTGAAGGTTGATGTAGTCTCGCTTGTGACTGGGCTGGTGGGAGATTCTGGAGATTTGGTGGGTTCTTTTTCTCTTGTTGCTTCTCCTTCATCTTTCCCTTCTGCTATCATTTGACCAGACTCAGGTGTGAGAGGAATTTCTGTGTTGCTCTGCTGGTGCTTAAAGGTGTCTTTCACTTCGATGGATTGTTTTCATTCAGTTTCTTTGGCTGCTGCCTCTCCGGTATCTATGTTGGGCTCTCCAACATCACTAGCCTGGGCCTCGGTAGGCCCTGTTACCTTTTCTAAGTTGCTTTCTGAAGAGGGAATCTGTTCGACTATTTCAGGCCTTTGCTCCTGCTTATCCTTCGTGATGTCCTCCACAACCACAGAGTTGGCTGCCATATCTTTATCCAAGTCTTTCTTACTCACATCTTTGGGCTCCCAGAAATTAACTACTTTCTTAATTGTGAGTATACTTTGTGGTTTTGCAATTTATGAGCTGAGGAAACTGTTCCAAAAATATTCATTCAATTTCATTTACTACACACCACACACTAGATACTGTTCTAAGTACTAACGGTACAGCAAGAAACAAAGCACCTTTTAAAAAATTGTATTTTCTTAAAAATTCTAAAGAGCTTTGAAGACTATATATTTTCATAGTAGTTTTATAAGGAAAGCAAATAGGTTAAAATGATTTGCCAAAATTTAGGCACTTAATTTTAGACCTTATAACTTTCTGCTGAGTTATAAAACTTTACTTCACATCCAGCATAAATCAATGGTCTGATTAAATGTAGGTCAATATCTCGGTTACCTAAGTGTCTGTACTAAAATCATAGATCTCTTTATTTTGGTTAAATGTGGTTCATGAGCAGTTCTTTGGGTTTGTTATTACCCAGTTTGTATTTGATGCTGTTTTCGCTGACTTTAATACTACCCAAGGTGACACAGTTGTTGCTGTCAATTGATTTTCTCTATATACCAATGTCTGGATTGTCTGAGGATCCTAAATAATACTGCCACCCATACCTGAAGAAGCAAGCACTGGACCAAAACAACTGCAACCTCCTCTCTCAAATAAGGCAAAATATATACAATGTTCCACCCAGCAAGAACAGAATATGCATGCCTTTTGGCTGCACATGATACTTTCTGCAAAGTAGATCACATATTAGCTAATAATTTACCATGCATATTATCAGATCACAGTACAATGAAACTAGAAATCATTGGCAAAGGAAATCACAGAAACTATGCAAATGTATGGAAACTAAACAATACATTTTGAATAATCAGTGGATCACAGGAGAAACTAAAGAAATAAGACACTTCCCAGAATTAAATGGTAATGCCAGGATAATACCACCAGAACTTATGGGACACACTGAAAACAGTCCTTCAAGGAAAGTTTCTAGATGTGAATGCCCACATCAGAAAAACAGAATGAGCGCAAATAAATAACCTAATCATGCACCTCAAAGTCCTAGAAAAACAAGAACAATTCAACTACAGAGCTTGTGGGAAGAAAGCAATTATAAAATCAGAGCAGAAATCAGTGAAATTGAGACCAACAAAACAATACAAAGAATCGACAAACTGAAGAGTTGGTTCTTTCAAAGAATAAATAAAATAGACAAACTCTTGGCCAATCTATGAAAAAGGAAAGCAAAGACACAAATCAATGCAATTAGAAATGAGAGAGGTAAAGTCACAACAGACATCACTGAAATCCAGAAAATTACTGGCAACTGCTTCATAAACCTGTATGCCAAAAAATTGAACTCAAAAGAAATGGACAGACCAGGGATTTAGCTCAGTGGTTCTGTAGCCTGCCTTGCAAGTGCATGGTCTGGAGTTCCATCCCTGGTACCAAAAAATAAAAATAAAAAAGAAAGAAATAGAGAGATTCCTAAATACATATGAATTACCAAAGCTGAACCAAGAAGAGTTAAAAATCTTGAATAATCAATAGCAACCAATGAAATTGAACCAGTAATAAAAACTACCAATTATCAAGGGAACTTCAGGGAACCTCTACCACCAATCCTCCTCAAACTCTTTAATGAAACCAAGAAGGAAAGTGTGCTCCCAAAACCACTTTTGGAAGCCAGTATTAACTTTATCACAAAACCAGACAGGTTCAACCAAAAGAGCAAACTACAGGTGAATTTCTCTAATGAACATAGGTGCAAAAATCCTCAACAAGATACTGGCAAGCAGACTGCAACAAATTATCAAAAAGATCATGTACTGAGTAGGTTCCACCCCAAGAATACAAAGATAGTTCAATAAATATAATTTATAAAATTAATAATTAGTAATAAATAATTAGTAATTTATGCAATAAATGTAATAGTTCAATAAATGTAATTGATCACATAAACAGAAGCAAGGACAAAAATCACATGATCATCTCAATAGGTGCACAAAATGCCTTTGATAAAATCCAACATCCATTAATGATTTAAAAAAACCCGTAAGGAAATAGATATAGAAGGAACTTATCTCAGTCTATTAAAAGCCATTAACAACCAACATCCTCCAACATCATATTAAATGGAGGAAAACTAACTGAAAGCTTTCCTCTAAAATCAGGTACAAGACAAGAATTTTCACTATCACCACTTCTGTTCAACATAGTCCTAGAAATAACCACAGGATCAGGCAAGAAAGAACAAAGGAAAATTAAGAAAGGACAAAGTCTAATTATAACTGTTTGCAGGCAACATTATTTGCATTATTTTGACTCTACTTACAAGACTCAGAAAATTCCACCAAAAGACTCCTAGAACTAGTAGCGAAATTCAATAAAGTAGCAGGATACAAAACCAACACCCAAAAATCAATAACATTTCTATGCATTAATAATGAACTCACTGAGAAAGAAATTAGCAAAACAATACCATTCACAATAGCATCAAGAAAAAGGAATTAACATAACCAAGAAAGTAAAAGACCTCTACAACGAAAATGACATCACTCTGAAAAAGGAAATTGAGCAGGTCATCAAGAAATTGAGATATCCCTTGTTCTTGGATAGACAGAACCAATATAATTAAAATGTCTATACTTCCAAAAACCGATATACAGATTTCATGTAATCCCAATCAAAATATCAACAATATTTCTCAAAGATCTAGAGAAAACAATCATAAAATTCATATGGAACCTGAAGAGACCCAGAGTAGCAAAGCAATCCTCAGTACCAAATTTGAAACAGGAGGCATCACACTTACAGATTTGAAGTTATACTAAAAAGCTACAGTGAAAAAACTAGCATGATACTATCACAAAAACAGGCTTGTGGATCAATGGAACAGAATAGAGGAAGCAGAAACAACTCCAGCCACATTTAGCTATTTGATCTTTGACAAAGTGACCAAAAACATACACTCAAGGAAAGATAGCCTCTTTAATAAATGATGCTGGGAAAATTTGGATATCCACATGAAGAAGATTGGGTCTTGCTATGTATTAAATAAAATCAAAGTGAATCAAACATCTAAATGTTAAAACAGAAAAAACCTGCTGGAAGACAAAATAGGTAAAACTCTTGAAGTTACAGGCCTGGGACTTTCTGAACATAAGCCTGATTATAGGAAATAGTATGGAAAATCAACTCATGGGATCACATCAAATTAAAAAATAAGCACAACAAAGGAAACAACCAACAGAGTGAAGAGACAAACTACAAAATGGGGAAAAAGGGGTCGGAGACTTAGCTCAGTGGTTGCGGTGCCTGCCTCTCAAGCGCAAGATCCTGAGTTAGATCTCTGGTACCAAAAAAAAAAAAAAAATGGGGAAAAAAAATTTTCCAGCTATTCCTTGGGCAGAAGACTAACGTCTAAACTACATAAAGAATTAAAACAAAGATACCCCAAAATAAAAGACAGAATGGGCAACCCGAAATGAATAGACACTTCACATAAGAAATACAAATGGCCAATAAATTCAGGAAAATGTTCAACATCGTTGGCCATTAGAAAAATGCAAATCAAAGCTACATTGAGATGTCTTATTCCAGAAAGAATAGCTATCGTCAGGGAATTAAATAATAACAAATGCTGGTGAGCATGTAGCGAAAAAAGGAACCATTCTACACTATTGGTGGGAATGTAAACTAGTACAACCACTATGAAAATCAGTACGGAGATTCCCCAAAAACCAAAAATAGGAATTCCATTTGACCCAGCTATTCCCCTTCCAGGAATCTTCCCAAAAGAGTTAAAGTCATTAGAGGGATTCAAGCATACCCGCATACCCACTTCTGTTTTTTTTGTACCGGGGATTGAACTCGGGTCCTTGCGCTTGTGCAGCAGGCGGCAAAATCACTGAGCTAAATCCCGGGCCCTATACCCACTTTTATACCAACACAATTTATGATAGTTAAATCTTGGAAATAGCCTGTATGTCTATTAACAGGTGAATGGATCAAGAAAATGTGGTATTTATACGCAACGGAGTACTACTCAGCAATAAAGAAAGATACATTTAAGACATTTGTAGGCAAATGGATGCAACTTGAAAATATAGTATTAGGTGAAATAAGTCAGACACACAAGCTCAAATATTCTGTTTTCTCTTATATGAGAAACTCTACCTTGATTCATGATGAACTTAACTTTTTCTATGATTTTGGAAAAGTGGGCCGTTTTTATTTTTGTATTTGTGTGGGAAAGATGGCTGCAGTTGTGTTTGTCACTGATGCAGAGTTTGCAAAGAAAGACAAAATTTTGCCAAACACTTTTGTTTGTGAACCAAATTGTTTGCAAGCAAAAGTATTCATGAAGAAACAAATCACTCTCTGTGTGCTTGTGTGTATATAAAAAGAAGAAAAGACCTGCTAGGTCATTGTTCACTCCCCAGGTGAATATTTGCTGTGTATTTTGTTTTGAGAATTGAGGTTTTTTACAACCCCTCACTGATGTTTCTACATGTCTCTGGACATTTAACAGAATATATATCATTAGCTGTAGATATGATCCATATATATATGGGGGGATGGAGGGTGAGGGCAAAATAGAAGACTGATAAATAGGAAGTACAGAGATCTTTTTCAAATGGATGGAGGAAGAAGAGATGAGGGAGGGGTACAGAGGGAAGGGAAAGTGAATTGAAAAAAATGAATTGAAGAAAACAATGATGATGAAAATAGAGCTTTTGCAAATGGGAAGGGGACCAAGAGTTAGAGGTAGTGGGAAGACAGAGAAGAGATAGGGGGTGACGAGAAAAGAAGAACTAAAATGTATTGTGTACATGTGCCAACTCCCCAAGATAAATGTAAACATTATGTACTATGAACATGTACTTACAAAAAGAGCCCTTTCCTTCATCTGACAACTGATTATTCTTACCCTCACATCTAAAAATAGCTCATAATTTCCTCTGTTATACGTAGCAATGTGTATGGAATCCATACCTACATTTTCAAGGTCTAAATCCTATCTGCCACTTAGGTGGCTAAATAAACCACCCAAAAACTTTGTTAAACAAGCACAATTATTCTCTCTTGCCTGTGTGTGACCTTATCCAGGCCAGGCTCTGGGCCAAGTTACAGGTTGGCTCCAGATCTGCTCCACCTGTCTTTCATCCTCTTTGTTGTTACCTACAACATGTCCTTCTCAGAAGGGGAGAATCCATCCTTGCATGCATATTTTAAACCTCTGTTTTATGTCATGTTGGCTGACATCCCATTGAGATTTGTTTCAAAGGTCAACAGTAGTCTTTAAAAGTCTTCTGAAATATCCAATTTGATGAAAATTAGAAATGACAGTGTATGTGAGCACTTCCTTTCAAATGTGGAAATGGTTGCCTGGGGCCAGGAGCAAAGGAAGAGAAGAATTTCAAAGGGGCACTAGGAATATTCTGAGAGTTTTGAAGACATTCTGTACATTGATTTGTAGTTGTAGTTTCACAGGTACATATATCCTTTCAAAACTCAGTAGGTTATATAGTTTATATAGATGTACTTTACCATTTGTAGATGATAGTTCAAAGCAAATTACATGGCCAAGTCAAAAGTCCTTCTAAGAAAGGGGATAGGGAAATACAGTTTGTCATAAGGCCCAAACCAGTCACATGACTAAACTAAGCATTAGTGAAGTTGGGAAGCAAAGGTGGAGGAGAGTAAATATTTATGAAGAGTAATCTATCATGGAGGTCTTAATATCACTTTTCTTAGGTTCCCTCTGTATAAAGCCTGGTCAAGGTTGCATTGAGAATTCAAGTACTTAAGACTTTGGTGAGTGCTAGGTAAATAGGCACTACATATCTACATATCTCTGGTCATTTGATGGAATCCATGTCACTGGAAAGCCAGGGGCTACCATCAGGAGGAACTAGCAACATACCTAAACTCTTTGTGTTTTGATGAAAGATTTCAGGCATGACACATAGGCTGTCATATAGAGTATAGGTAGAGTTTATTGCAAAATGATAGATTTTCAGAGTGAGAGAGAGAAAACACCAAGCATGAAGGTGGGCAAGCACCAAGATGGCAGTTGTACTGAATGGGGTCTCAGGTTACATTAATATGATTAAATGGGTCCTTTAAGGAATATCTTTTTCTTCCTCTAAGGTCATTGTTCTTCTACAGGAAAAATGGGTTATGTCAACCTATACTAAGTCACTGTTTACTCTCTACACCAATGTTTTCTGTGTATTTTGTTTTGAAAACTTGAGGTTTTTCAATCCCTCTTCCATGGTCTGGACTTTGTACAGGCTCTGGACCTTATTAGATGCTCAGATATTATATTCTGTTGAACTAAAGTTTAAAACCACAGACTTGTGAGGATTTTATCTACAGCTAATGATTAAGAAAGTGAAGGGAAAAAGGGAAGAAAATTCATGTCTTCATTCCTTTTAAGTATCCCCTAGTCACCTGTTTCTAAACCTATTAATGTGTAACTTTCTACCTTACAATCTTCACCTGCAGGGCTCCAGTATTCATCCTGTTTCCTTTTGTGGCCATTTTATTTCTCCTAGGATGCAAATTTCTTTGCTCCAAGACAATGTGGTTGTACTTAGATGAGGCTACCTCAAGTGACCATAGCCTTAAAATGACTGATCTATAGAGAAGGTCTAACAGGTAAGTCACACAAGTTTCCTGTTTTTACTTAAGCACATCTCTTCTCTGAACTTTCTAGTCCAGATGAGATGGTATGCACTCAAAAATGCAGCTTATTAAGGTAAATGTCTATTTATATTTTCTAACTCTTTTGTAATGAATGTGTTTATTGAAAAAAAGCAAAGAAAAATTAATTATAGTACAGATATTCTAATACAATTGATACCACCTCTATGAAGTTGTCTTCAACTTCCCTAGGAAGTTAACTTCCTTCTTCTGTAATTGTCCATATTTTTTCAAAACCTTTATTATAGTGGTGAGTAGACTACATTCCCAAATGAGAAATTCTAAGAAATATTTAGTTACTCATACCTTTTCTAACACAGAATATGACACAAGCTAGTTGATCAATAATATTCATTGGATAGAATTAGGAATAAGAAAGAAGTAGGCTAGCAAAAATCACAGGATTTCACTTCTGCCCTACTTCTAAAAGATATTCACTAAATGACACTATTGGTAAATTATACCTTAATAAAATTGATTTGTAAAAAGTGGTTTCCCAAGGGCAAAGGATAAATGCCCCATGGGGTATTACTTTTTTGTATGGATAATAATATTTATTGCAAAATAAATACAAAGTAATATTACTGAATATTTTGCACAATAAACTTTGAGAACTTTAGAAACTATTAAAAATCAACATTATACAGAATATGGAAAGCAGCATAAAATAGTCTTTTCAACAAATAGTGTTGGATGAACTATATGCCCATATAAAAATAACTACCAAACCATCATCATTTCATATCATATGCAAAAATTAACATAAAATGGATAATAGGCTTAAGGCAAAAGATACATTTATGACACTTCTGGAAAACTATGGGAGAATATCTTTTTGATTTGGGGTTATGCGAAGATTTCTTAGAAATATGCAAATATATAAAACAAAAGAAAAATTAACACATTGTACATTATCAAGATTAAAACATTTTTATCTTAAAATATACTATTAAATTAAGAAAATGAAAACCCTGTAGAAAGCAAGAAAATAATCCATACATCTGACAAAGGTTCTGATTCCAAAAATATATAATAAACTATTAGAATTGATTAATAAGGTGTGAAATATCCCAATTTAGGTATAGGCAAAAGACTTATTGAAAAAGATACCTCACAAAAGATGATAAACAAATGGGAAATGTACATATGAAAAGATGTTCAATATTATTAATTATTAGAGAAAATACAGATTAAAAGTAGAATAAGATAGTACTCATGCCTACTGACATAAAATTTTAAAAAGACTAACGATCACAAATGACATATGCCAAAAATCCAAAAATAAAATAAAGTCAGATAAAAAGACTAACAATATCAAGGTTTTGAACTGTGGAGCAACTGGAATTTGTCCTCTGTTGATTGGAATGTAAAATGGTACAACCATGTTGCAAAACTATTTGGCAGTTTCTTATATAGTTATAAAAATAATTATCATGTGACCAAGCAACTCCATTCCTAAGTATTTATCTAAAAGAAAATAAATCCTTTGTCCAAATACTGACTTATATATGAGTGTTTAATTGAACACTCTTCACATTAGCTCAATGTTAGAAGCTATCCAAATGTTTGTCAAAGAAAAATGGATTTAAAAAATATAATAAATCCATAAAACAGAGTACTATTCTGCAATGAAAAGGATGACAGAATAATACATGCAAGATGGATGAATCTCAAACATATGATGAAGGAAGAAGATAGACACAAAAGTATATATGCATAAGTTTATTTACATAAAATTGTAAAAGTTGTTAACTAGTTTATCATGACAAAAGATAGGTCAGTGTTTGTCTGAAGCTAGGAGCACAGGAAGAGATGGATTACCAGGGGCCGTAAAGAATATCTTGGGATTTTGAAAATAATTTGCATCTTGATTTGCAGCAGTAGTTGCACAGGTGCATATATTTGACACAATCAACACATTATATAGCTTATATGCCTTTTGTATATTATACCCTAATAAAATTGATTTATTAAAAAGTAGTTTTCAAATGACATATAATGAATGAAATGATTAGAGAGAACATTTTATTGTCAGATAATATTTATTATAAAATAGGAAAAAAGTTATTGCTGAACTCTTGTAAAAATATACTTTAGTGGTTAAAAGTTAGCATTGTACAGAAGATG